TAAAAGATAAAAAATGGATTCTGGTAAGGAATTATGTTCTCATGTGTTGCAAGGATTTAATGCCATTCTCTTCTATAAATAATACTGGAATGCAAGATTTTCTAAAGGTTATCTGTAAAATCATTATAATTTTTTATAGGGCAATCTTAATTTTTATTTGTTAGGATATTTAATCATTTTATAACATCCCACATTTAAAATTTTTTTATGGCATAATATTTTTATTATTAAATTTTTATTATGTAGAAATATGACATTATTTCAGATGCCAAAGAATTACCAGATAGAACTACACTTAGCCGGAGTGGATTAGATGATGTGTATTTATCAATGAAAGCATACATATGCCAACAAATTAATATAGGTCCAAAATTTTGTGCTATAACTTTTGATATGTGGACCGACAAATATAAACGGCGAAATTATATCACCTTTACATTTCACGAAATAGATAATAATTTTAATATTGTATTTTATACATTGGCGACACATCATGTCACTCAAAAAAAACCGCTGAAACTATTCTTTCCGAAATAGAAAAAGTTGAAAATGAATTTGATTTAGGGTCCAAGAAAATTCAAATGGTTACGGATGCAGGACCCAATGTGAAGAAAAGTGTTCGTCTAGGAGAATATGACCATCATTTATGTTTGAGGCATGGATTACATAATCTAGTGACAGTCGATGGAATAAAAAATAATAAAATAGAAAATCTCATTAAAAAAGTGAGAGAAGTTATAGTTGCCTTAAGATTCAAAACAGCGGATTTTGAAAATATAAACCATACAGAAAATGAAAAATGTTTTGAATCGATATCATATACATCGGATATTTTAGATTTGGATGATAATGATCCTTTTTATGAAGATCGTTTGGGATTTGATGATGATAGTGAAAATCAAAAATCATATGAGAAAAAACATAAAACCTAAAAATTAAATGTGCCTACACGTTGGCATAGTATTTTAATAATGCTGGAAAGTGTGACTGGCAATAACAAAAATCGTATAAATATTCTATTAAATAGAATGGAGAAACCGGATCTCAAATTATTTAACTCCGATTGGGACTTGGTGCATGAACTTTTAAATTTTCTTAAAACCTTCAAAAAAACTGTTGAATTTTTATCTGTCCAAAAAGGAGTTACTATAAATTTAGCCTTATTATTTCGTAGTGAAATTAAAAATCATTTAATTGTAAAAGAATATGATAGCCCACCAATAGCATCCCTTAAACAAAATATGCTTACTAAATTTGATCATAGATTTCCAATAACCGATTTTCAGATAGTATTTTAAATACATAAATTATTTTTTATATATTATTTCTCTTTCTTTTATTTTTTTTACTTAGGTGTTAGGATCACTTTTGGATCCTCGTTTTCAATCAATAAACATAGTAAATGAATATTTAAAGGAAAAAAATATTACTCCGTTGAATTTTTATGTCAACACGCTACCTCTCTACGGCCTTACACGGACGAATTAAACGAATGTAAAACGACGGAAGTTGCTTCAAAACTCGATTATCTTAAGTCATTGGCTACGAAGCATTCATCTATTCAAAACAATAACCTGGAACAACAACACTATTTAAATAGTTTAGAAAAAGAGTGTTATTCATTATTTTCGCCTTATAATTTGGAGATAAAAGATGTCTTAGATTTTTGGAAGATAAGAGCATTGGATCTTCCTAAACTTTCAATATTAGCTAGAAAGGTCCTGTGCGTTCCAGCTACGAGCACACCCAGCGAGCGTGTATTTTCTATAGCTGGGCTCACTCTGAACTCTAAAAGATCATTATTATGTCCTTTAAATCTTAAAAAAATAATATTTATTCATGTAATTATAACTTAATAAAATCATGAAATTATAGTTATAAACATAATAAAGTATAAATTTTATTTTAAAAGTGTTTCCAATGAATATATAAATTTAATTAAAAAAATTTAAGTTAGAAAAATATTTGACACCGCCGACAATTTTTGTGGCGACGTCTAAATCGATTCGCCGCCGCCAGCCCATCATTTTAAAAAAAGAAACGCCGCCGCCGAAAATGCTGTCGGCGCACATGTCTAATTATATATAATAAAATATATTTTTTGCATATATTTTAGGTTTTACGTTGTCATTACCCAAGAAAAAGAGCGTTACCTGTTATCTTATGAAATAAGTAACGAATGGTATTCTTTTCCTCAAAAAAGTAACCCCGGTATTAACGACGTTACTTTCATTGATGTTACTACAACATTAATTAAAATCAATGCTGTTAACGCGACTTTAAAAAAAAATTAGAGCGCTATTGGTACAATATTTTTCTCAAATTATCTCATTTATGATAGCTAATAAGACGTGACAATTTTGATTTCATTTAAATAAATAAATGCAAGGGAAATTAAAGGATTTTATTTTAACAAATTAAAATAAAATATTCGTTAATTTTTTTTTAAAAGAAGGTAGCTAAAAAATAAGTTGCATATTTTATCTATATCAGCTCGAAAAAATAATAGCAACATTATTAATTAGCTACATTTTTATAAAAGTACCCTCACTAGTTACTCAAAAAATGTAGCATTTAACTGTATCGTGCTACTTTCAATACTTACTTTTAACATTTTTGATTAAATTATTTCTTTTTCGCTTTGAAATTTTTTTTTATCCTTCACCAATTATTATCATTTGAAAATAAATAAATAAACTATCCATACCATATATATCCACTTTCATTTTTTTTATTTTTTAATTACACAATAAATGAAGTTAATAATTTACTATTATTGATTATGAAATAGGCGTCCTTTTTAAAATCAATTTTTAAATTATTATTTATCTATCGGTAAATTGTATAAATATATTTTTGTATAAATCGCGCGATAAACTTATTCAGGCGTGCAGTAAAATTATTAAAATAATATTTTTATTCCATATTTCTTTCTTTTTTTTGTTTATTTATTAAAAATAAAATAAAAATATATTAAGATGGGGTTTTAACGTAAAAATAATTTTTTAGAAAAATAAAATAATAAGAGGATTTATCACCTGATAAAAATTTAACTCGGTTCATTTATAACACCCTTTTTTTAAAGGGATAATTCTTTTAAAATACTGATATTCTGGAGGAAAAGGATAAGACTTGTAGAAAAGGAGATGACGTTGGTTATGACACAGGGAATGATAACAGGTAGAAAAGTAATTAATTTATAAATTTTTTTTCTTGATATGTGTTGCCGTTACCATAACAGTTATTTGTATAAAATTTAGAAATTTTTTTTTTAATAGATAATAAATAACGAGCTTCATTTCATTAGTATAATTTAAATAAATAATATAATTATTTATATACCTAATAAAATAATATTACTTTTTCAAGCTTTAAGGATGTCATTTTGACTTTTATTTTAGAATTGATAATGTTATTTTCAAATTATATGAGCATCCTTTTTATTTTAATTTTTTGATATGAGAGTCGGTAATTTTGTCTATATTCATCAAATATTATTAACGATTTTTTTTATACAGGTGAGCTAATATTGTATTTTTATTTTATATTAAATTTTTTTCCCAATATAAATATCATATTTTAATTTTTGGTAAAATTTAATTTAATAAAAATACTATAGTATACATTTTTTTTAAAATTAACAAAAATAATTTTTTTTTTTAGATTTTATAATTATCCAAAAATTCCAATAAGACATATTCGATGTAAATTTTCTCATTATAATTTTAAGATATGAAAAACCTAGACATCTGGTAATTATAATAATCACCAAAATTTAGCTTTTTGGATATTTGAGTGAGAGAAAATGAACGTGATTATGGCCTATGCTTTTACCACTCCACATCAATGCCATTCGTTTTAAAAATGGATTATATTAACTTTCTATTGTCAATTTTTATTAGTAAGCAAAAAAAAATTTATATAATAAAATTTTACATGATTAAATTTTTAAAAGTAAAATGTTATTGCTTTAAAAGAAAGATAATGAGATTACCTTCATCAACATGATTTTTTATTAAAATTGCTTAGTATTTTTAAAAGTAGCGTCTTACTCTCTTTTAAAAAAAGAAAAGGAGTTACTATGATGACGTAACCTTCATCTATATTACATAGCATTACATTACAATAATCTTAAAGTATACTATATATATCAACTTTCTAATCTATGAAATATTTTAAAATTAATTTTATCGTATTCCCCCCTTCCCTCCCCTCCCTAAGATACATATACATACTATTATATTATACATTTACTTTTACTGGTAAAAAAAAAACTTTTTAATAAAATGTGGAGATTAAGAAACATTAACCTTAGTTTTAAGTTTTTAATAAAGATATTAAAAAAAACAATTACTTTTTACATAATAGAGAGAGATTAGTAATAAAGGGGGAGGAGAGGACATGCAAATAAAGCAGAAAACGGCTATAGTAACCTAACCAACCCAACCACCTACTTTATTTTAATCTTAGTTATGAGTTAAGTGTTATTATAACTCATAAGGAACAATAATTTTTTCTTAATTTACGGTATTATGCTTTACAAATTTAATTTTAGTGTTTTATTTTATTTATGTGTTTATATTTACTTTTTAGATTACGATTCTTAAAAAAATTGGTTATTATTTATTCATATTATTAATATTATACATATAAATAATATTACTCAATCAATAATATCTTAAGTTGATAGAATATTTATATAGGATATGATTTTTTTTATTAAATATTTAATTTCAGTTTATATCATGGTCTAAGAACCTGGCCCAAATAGTATGGCCGGCATAAAATGAATCTATTCTCATCAAGATAGTATTCTGATTTTAAATGATTAATTGATCCTTTCTCAATTAAAAAAAAATACCATTATCCAATTCAACAAATTATAGATATTAATTGTAAACCATCAAATTGTTTGTTATTTAAAAGAGGGCTTCAATTAGAACAAAGTGATTCATTTAGTGTCAAGAGTATGACCACATATTTTGGCATTTTAGCTCTTTTCATGGCCTTATCTTTGCGCTCAATTTCTAGCAATATTTATCTGGTGGATGACGTGGAGGGATTCGGTCAACCTTTTGATGGAATAGGGGGCATCAGTGGTGGTGGGGTATGAATTAATAAAACAATTTATATATAATTTCTGATTAAGCTTAAGCGAGATTTATATATATTATTATGAGATTAGCTTATATAAGATAAGCTAGCATCACTTTTTATTATGGGAATAGAATATTAATCTGTTTGAGTATTGTATATTTATTTATCGATATAAAAAATGTATCGGAAATGTGCTATTTTAAAGTAATTTATTATTTTTTAATACAAAGGCAACGTCTAAGTTACTCATCAATTATCCGGAGAAGCAGAGAAGCGAAATTTTGGACTATTTGTTTAAGGTTTCCTAGTTAGAACCTATTTTAACAAGACACTAATCTTAACATTTTACTAAAGGGAAGTGGAGAGTGGAGATGAGGGGCATATTTTAGAGTATTGAAAAAATAATCTAAAAGGGAGTTGAAAGAGAGAAAATTTAAAAAAATAGGATAAAAGAAAGAATTTTGGACAAATGTCACCAAAAAATTGAGCAAAATGAAGAAATATAAAAATTTTAAAATCATAAATCTATTAATATAAAATTAAAAAAAGTTTAGAAAACAATTAACAAAAATCGGAAAGAAAATGAAAATGGCTAAAAAAATTAGGAAAATTGGAAGAAATTTATATACTTAAAAATTGAGTAAAATGAATAAAATCTAAAAATAAATTGATAATTTAAAAAAATTATTATTATTGAAAAATTTAATTAAAATTAAAAATATCGGAAAAAAAACACTCAGAAACTAATTTTTTATAGTGATTGTGCATTATTTTGGTATTTATTAGCGTGCTTTTCTATGATTTTGCACATCTGTATATTTTATGTATCATTTCGCGTCTTTTCTAAAATTTTGCATATTTCTTTTATATTATTTACGTGCATTTCTCTGATTTTTCGTAATTATTCATTTTTTTGCGTCATTTGTGTACTTTTATTTTCCGTCAGATTACATGAATTAGTAATGCCCTAAAAACCTACTCATAAAATTTGATATCTAAATAAGTAATAAAATATCGATTCGGGTCGATATTTAAAAACGGCCCGATTAAGATTATAAACAAAATAATATTGTAAGCCTGGTGATTTTGCTATAAATGGCAGAAAGGTTTGAGCTTCTACTTGCCAAATCTTAAAGCTTACACAATATTATTTTGACTAAAATCTTAATAGGGCCGTTTTTAAAAATCGATCTAAATCGGGCTTTTTAACAACACTACTTAGAATAACTATAAAATAAGTTATAAATTTAAATAAAATTTTATATTATTCCATTTGTTTTTAAAGAAATACCGCTTTAGTAGATCCCATTAGCTCTAACTTTACTAATCATGATTTAAAATATAGACAACATAGATTCTTGTAAAACATCTTAAATTATAAAAGAAAAGTTTAAAACTTTGTTTGAAACTTAATTTGAATGAAAAATTTTTAAATTTTGTATATAAAAATTTGGTCAAATTTTTTTTAATTTTAAATATTTATTGTTTAGGTTGATAAGTGCTAAAACTAAACGCTTTATTAGGACAAAATTTATACATCCCAGGATTTTAATTTAAAAAATAAAATAGTTTGACAATCCTCCCTCCCCTAATTGCTTCAAAAATATTTTATATTTGAGTAATATCAATTCTGATCAACTTTTTATCGGGTATTAGCTCCAAGAAATAACTAAATTAAAGAATTGAAGACATTTCGACAAATGATAAATTTTAGGAATACATATAATTCTTCCAAAAATAAATTAAGAAATTCATTAGATTTAAATTATTTTATAACTAAATTAAATTTTTTTAAAAAAAATTAATGAATAAATGAAGCCGAACTTCGGAGCATCGTTGCAAATTTTTAAAGTAGAAATAGGTGGAGATGCCCAGAGTACAGGTACATATTTTTTTATACTATGATCTCTTTAAAAAGTACTTATAGGATAACTCGGGTATATTTTTTATTTCTATAAGATGGTACAGAATCCTCACACATGCATAATGAAGATGAGATTAACTTTGAAAGGGGATATGAATGGTTTTTAATGAAGGAAGCTAAAAAGGTTTGATTTTTTTTTAAATTATAGGGAATTCGAGCTCTGGCAGTGTCAGGTCCAAAAAAAATATTAGAATATATTTTCCTAAATTAAAACATTTTTTTAAAGTAATTACTCATAATTAAATATTTTTAATTTTCTACATTATAATTTATGGGTATAAAAGCAATACCAAAATACTCCCTCATTAGGAAAAATCTGGTTTTACCTAAGATTGAAAATCTTAATATTTATATATGTAAATGAATTCTGAAATATTGCAGAGAAACCCAAAAATCAAATTAGGAGCTTTAGCTTGGGCTTTTCCCGGTTGGGTGGGAGAAATACCTAGAGAACCGTATGCCAATTTCACAAAGTTAGCTTATTATCTTACGACTTGGCTTAAAGGAGCTAAAGACAGATATGATTTAGATATAGATTACATTGGGGTATGAATTTTTTATTAATTACATCCTTTACCATTTAAAAAATAAAGTCACGTACATAACAACTATCACAATTGAAAATAATTTTATTCAGGTAATATCAAAATTTATACAGGAATCTTATCATGTTTCAGTTTGGAACCTGGATTAGAAAGGTTCTGTTATCTTATCGGTTTTAGTTCCGGATATTTTTTTCAATGTGGTTCAGATTTCTATTCCTAAAAATTTGATAAGAGAGTTCTTGATGTTGTTTCTGGTTAAATAATTTGTTTCAGGTAGATTTCAAACTCTGATTATTTTAATTAAGATTTTTTAAAATATTTTATATTCAAAAATCTAAATTTACTGATGACGCTTGTTTTTCTGATTATTATAGTGAAAATATATAATATAATAATTTTACTTAAATAACAATTTATCCGTTAATTCATGGCTATCTTTACAAAAAAACTTTCATAAAATAGTATTAAATATTAAATCTTCATTCATTAATGTTAATTAATATAAATGCATGAGGAAATAATAATACCAGTTATAAAATAGGATATTATTCATGAACCGAACACGAAAATGTCTTTTATTTTTTATTGGGAATTTTTTGCGAACTCGAACATCTAACCCGATAAAAATCTACCGAACATAGTTACCTTACCCCCCCCCCCAATATAGGTCCCTCAGCTAGTGTTAAATGTTATCTACAATCTCTAAAAGATCGGACCCGAATATGATTTTAGCCAAAATAATGTATATCTCGAGATTTGGCAAATAGAGGTCCAAAACTTTCTGCCACATATGACAGGCTTACTAATATTATCTTGGCTAAAATCTTAAACGGTCGTGTAATAAAATCGACCCAAATTGGGCCGTTTAACAACGCTATCTTCAGACAACTTCTCTAAAAATTAACAAATAAGGACAAAGTATATTTTAATATTACAAAAAAGTGTTATTTTTCAAGTAGCAGATGTGACTCAGGGATTACAGATTTTGAGTGAAGAACTAATCTTTTGGCGAGGTTAGGGTTGAGGTAAAGGGTCACCAGATATGAAGTAGAGTTAATATATTATTTTAAGCAAATTACAATTATGATGTGATGTAGTTAATCACAATCCACATCCTAGGTCGTTCTAGAACACCTTTTACTTGTATCTTTTCCCAACGTATTGTAAATTGCTGCTATTTTAATGCTGCGGGAATAGCTAATTTTTAATATTAGTGATGAGCAGAGTTGTTAAAGTAGCGCTCTTTTTTGGTAGCGATAGCTAATAGTACGCTGCATTTTTTCCAATTATTTACGGTCCTTTTTTTTGAAAATAGCTAAGTAGCGCTAATGAATGTAACTATAAACATGAAAATTTAAATAAAATATCATAATTAATTATAATTTTTATGATTTATTACTTAATTTTGAAGTTGAAATTTATATTTTTCAATTTGTACTATACACCTAAATCATCTGGTGTAAACTATTTAAAATGTCATCGCAAATGAATTCAAATCGATGTAAGTGAGTCAGATAACAGACAATGATAATATTAATGAAATGGAAACCCTGGAAGATGTTCTTGATAATAATAATACAAATTTTCCATTTCCAAATTTGAAAAATATTTTCAAATTAATGTAAAAACAAAAAAACATTATAAGCAAAAAATAAAACAAATTTATTTCTAAATTTTTTTTTATAAAAGGTAGCCGAAGCTACTTTTAAATAAGCGTGCTACTTTTTTTGACAAATTGCGATAGCGGTAGCGCGCTACTTTTAAAAGTAGGATTTAACAATTCTGTTGATGCGATCAAAATTTCGAAATTATTTTTATGTCTAAAGGGCATAATAGCTAGTTAAAATGACTAATAAAACCTTTATTAGAAACAAGGTTTAATCAGTTAGATTATCTTATTAATTAAGTGTCTTGATGCCCCCCTTCATTATTTTTAATGCTGCATTGGTACTTGACAATTATTTTAAATTTATTTGTAAACCCGTATTCCAAGTTATAAAACTGTTAAACTCTTACTTATTCTCAGCTTTTAACCCCTGTGCCCCATTATATTAAATTTTTTTCATTTTATTTTAATAGTTGATCATAGAGGTTAAATTTAAAAAAATATGATATAAGATATGGAATGAACAAAAATGTGATAAAGAATTTGTCAAATATTTTCGAAAATATTTGAACCAAAATAATTTATCGAGTATCAAATTGATAGCACCTGACTCCTACGATTTAGAATGGTCGGTGACGAAGCAAATGCACAAGGATGAAGAATTTCACAACGCCATCGATATCATTGGGTACTTAATGAGTAATTTATTTTTTGAAAAATCTTTAAAAATATGATTATTTTTTTGGCTAAAAAGAAGAGGAAGGTAAATATACTATCTATTAAAGTTATTTGAAATTCGATTCTATGTTATTTCTCTTCGTCGGAAAAACGAGTCTATAGAGAAGTGATATATAAATAAAATTTATTAAGATATTTAGGAGTTTAATAAAAATTACCTTTTGTCAAAATGGGTTGCTCATCAGAGGTATAAGTGATCATATTTCATGCTAGAGGAGCAAAGTATCATTTGAGACCTAAAACTGGTAAACCTACAGTAAAATCAAACTTGATAATTCTTAATAAATAATATCATTTTATCATTCTTAATTTTATATCATATAAAAAAAAATATTATACTCTTACCACAATATAATTTCCGAAAAAAAAAATTGTGAAAGAATGAGTAATACTCAGATAAGTGAAATTTTTCATCATTCTACATTCTTGGACCTAGGTTATAAGGAAAGGGAGGGGGTTTAAAAACTTTTTCTAAAAAATATCTCAATAATGAATTATTAAAAATGCAAGTGAATTCATCGTTACCATCACTCTATGTCTTAGGAATAAATCTGGTGGGCGCGCAGGGGGGGGGGAAGCTAGTCTCTGCTATTATAAAGCAGGTCCTATTTTTTTTATTTATATAATAAATTTTAATGTATATTTCAAAGCAAAATCCTGGAAAACTCACTAAAATATTAAATTTTTAATGAAATTGAATACAGTGAACATTATCCAGGAACATATAGTACTCAAGATGCAGTAAATACTGGCAAGATACTATGGTCATCGGAAGATTACAGTACCTTGAACGATAGAATCGGTGCTGGTTGTTGGGCTAGAATCCTTAATCAAAATTATGTTCGGGGATATATGTCTGCGTAAGCTTAAATATTTTATTTTGAAAATTTATTTATAAAAAAATTGAAATAATAAAACGTTCAATTTAGGATTTAAATTTTGTATTTCGTATGATGGGAATGAAAGTAATAATGAATAATTTTAAACTCTTTGTTTTGATATGAAGGTTTATGCAATTAAAGTTATACATGTCTCAGTCGAAAAATCCCTCAGGGTTAATTTTAAAAAAATTAAATTTCGGATAGGGTTGTGTTCTACATTTAAAAAAAAGTTAAATTGTGATATATATACCAAGTTTTGGGTTTATTGGTTCAATCTTATCAATGACATGATATTTGACAATCGTGATATTAATATGAAATTTTAAAAGGTCTAATTGGCTACTTCGATTACATTTGATAATATAAAATGGGTTAGGGAACAAATTTATTTTCCAGATACATAAAAACAATTGTATCTTTTTTGCAACACAAATAAATTTTTACCGAGCCATACTTACATCATATTATAATTAAACATATCAGAATCAAAACAACGTTCAATTAGTCCCATTTATATTGCACTACTTAAGATAATATTTTAATATTACTTTTTAAGGGTCTCACCTAAGCACACTTTCTTATAAAAAAAATAGAGATTGTGTAAATAAATATAATGTAAACTTTTATAAACTTTTATTGAGAGGAAAAGGAGAAAAAATTGTTATACGTCATTGACCAAGTGTAGAAGACGTGTTTAAGAGTAATAGAATATTTGCCTGGTTTACTAGGAAATGAGGAATTTTAACTGTGGGGAGAAGAGAGATTATACTTTAGAATTTAGCATACAGGGATATAGGGAGTTTCCTCCAAGAGAGAAGGAAAAACATTGATAAATCCTTTATATTTAATAAAAGTGGGTTATAGTTATATTAATATATATTAAAAAATATAATATCATATACAGAACCCTTTCATGGAATTTGATTTACAGTTATTACGACGGATTACCTTATGGTGGATGTGGACTCATGACCGCTAATGAGCCCTGGTCTGGTCATTACACCGTTAGTCTACCAATCTGGGTAACGGCGCATACCACACACTTCTCCGAACCAGGCTGGTACTATCTCAAGCACAATAGAGGTGTAGGATTATTGGATGGTGGTGGAAGCTTCGTTAGTTTGGCCCCATCTAACAAGACTCAACTTACTATAATTATAGAAACTCTGACATATGGAAATTCCAAATGCATCAGGCCCGAGCTAAAACCTTACGCCGTCGCTGATCATCAAGTGGTCCAATTTATGCTGGGTGGAACGTTTAAGAATATTCGAAAGTTGTATGTGTGGAGAACAGACCTATCGCCAAAGGTTCCTGAGAGTGAGAGGCAGGTTTTAGATCCCCAAAACGTTATTGAGGTATTCTACATATGTTTTATATTTTTCTATAAATAATTTTTCTTAATATAAATTTCCTCTCCAAAGTAGTTGTTTGTAAAAGCTTAAAGTAATTGAAGATCTAAAATAATTTATTTAGAGATAATGTTTATTAACTAGACACCATTTAGAAAAAATAAAAACTAATCAGACGCTTCTTCACCCCCCCCCCCCAAACCACTGATGAATTTATCCCACCCCCTTTCCAAATTTCCCTTACGTTTTTTTAATCTCGAACTTAGTTGTACACTACCGCTGAATTTGAAATAATTAGTATAGACACGACATACAAGATACAAGATAGGTAGCATGACATCCATCTTATTAACCCATTAATGGTAAAGATTTTTCTTATGGATAAAAATTCTCAATTTTTTCAAATTATATTGATTAATGCTCAAATATGATATTATAAAAAAATCAGCCGAAAAAAATAATCCTAAATAGAAATAGCCTGGTGCATAAATGCACTGTTAACCATTAAGAGATCATAACAATAAAAATAAAACGACTATTAATACGTAAAAGTTTAATTACTTTATAATATTATAGTATTTGAAATCATCAACAAGCAGATTAACTATAAATATAGTGCTATATAATATAATTTTCCATATTTAAATGTGAATTAATAGTAAAATCCTCAAGATTTTACCTACCCAATTAATTTTCCATATTTAAATGTGAATTAATAGTAAAATCCTCAAGATTTTACCTACCCAATCCTGCGTCTTACCCCCTATTCTCCACGATAGAAGCCGCTGATACCAGTATCAGATTGATACATAGCGAAAAATTAATTTGCAAAAACATTTTTACAAAATTATATTTTACGCTTAGGTCTTAATAAAATGCTAAATATTGTCATTTTACTAGGTTCAAGGTGGTATAGTGAGCATAAATATTTTAGCTGACAATCTATATACCTTAACTACTATATTTCGAGAATCACCTGTTGTATATAAACCTGTTCCCTTGCCATTTCCGTTTCCGACTCCCTATTTTGATGATTTTGAAGGTAAAAAATAATAAATATATCTGGGTTTTATAATCCAAACTTCTAGGCACTCAATGTGGTATTTATTAGTTTTATAATTAATTTAGATATTTGGGATTATTCAAATATACCAGGGATGTCAACCCGGACCCTGACTCTGAAACCTCCTGAACCCTCGTATTTTGGCTGAACCCGAACTCGGACCCTTTTTAAAAGTGAAGGGTCCAAGGGTTCAAGGTTTTAAAAATATTTTTAAAAAAATAATATAAATTTTATTAACCTTTTTTGTGTAATCATTTATTTTATCTTCGCGTTTTTCTTTCAATTTTCTTCCTGAACTTTCATTTTATTTAGAGATTGATATGATTATTGTAAATAATAATATTTTATTATGTAAATTTTTTAATTTGCTATGTTATAGGAACACGTTGATTATTTTTAAAGTGAATTGTGTAATATTATTTTAATTTAAATGATAATGCACAGCACGTTGGTCCTCAATTTATATGATGCTAGAACGATTATTAACTTTGAAAGATGTAATTATTTTATTATAGGAGCATGGGAAGTCATTTTGTCGGAAGATGATTGGTGCCAAAAGGACCTTTGTAGTGTATTAGTTCCTTTAAAAATAACAAGATTAAGATTACAATCCGAACAATTATGTTTATTTAATTTTTATGGCATATGGATTAGATGCCGATTAGATTTAGAAAAATTTACATTTCTTTTTATACGAAATATTAGAAACATGAAAATTTGAGAGCAACAATATTTGCAAAATAGAGTTGTATAGGCTTCTATATATTTAGACCCTCGATATCAAGTTTTATTGAGTATTGAGCAAAAACAAGTGGCTAAAGACAATCTTAAGGATTTATGGCATACGCAAGGCTTCATTATTTACAATATATTCGGGGACGACAATACCTACTGGTTGTAGTGATAATAATAATGATAGCAACATTGATGATCTTGAAATTTTACTTTTAGATAGAGAGGATAGAAAGGAGGATCAAAAAATGCCTATTGCATCTTTAATAGTAAAGTCCTCAGCAATTAAGAGAATAAATAAGGATATAAATATTTTAAAATTCTGGGAAGAAAATTCTTCAATATATCCAGAATTATATGCCTTATCTAGAATCTTCATAGCTGTACCGGCGACGCAAGTACAATAATTTTATAAAGATAACTACCCATATTAGCTAAGGGTAGAACAGAATTTTCATCTTTGAAATATATTTTGTCTACTATACGTGGAAATCTCAAGGATGATATTTTAGAAGATATTATGATTATGCGATTGAATAAAACATTTATAATATAAATTATTTTATTTAAAAATTTTTTATTTGTAAATTATGAATGTGTATATATTGAAGTATAATAATAAATGAATGAAAAAAAAATCTTATTCTGAGTCATTATTTTTATGTTCACTAAACCCGGACCCGAACCCTGGACCCGGGTCCTTTTCAAATTTTATTTCTGTACCAGAACCCGGACCTGGACCCTGTTTTTTTGTCGAAGGGTTCACATCCCTGAAATATAGTTTATTTAATCTTATAGAAGTTTAAATTGTATTTATAAAACACTCATAAAATTGGATCATAAGCAGAAAAAATATGTAAAATGTAAATTTTTATGATAAATTTATAATGTTAATTTCTGTCCAGAAATTTAATTACAAAATAACATTTCACGATAGTTTTCACATATCTAATCAATGCACTAATATCACAAACAAGATTACGTGGAATTCGCAGAACCTTACAATTTATCACCACAAGTGGGTGTTTTTGAAGCAAGGAAGATTGGTGTAAATGGTGTAATGGCTCAAGTGGTTCAACAAACCCCTATACATTGGTGCATAGGAAATAAATATGCCATGCCCAGCCCTACCGTAGTTATAGGCGATTACAAATGGTTATATCATATAGTTGAATATTTCGTTAATTTTTTTTTTACTAAAAAATTAGGAGCAGATTAATATTTTTTGACGATATTATGTAAATTGATTAATTAATATTGTATATTTTTTTTGAGGATTAGAAATCATATATTTTCAAATATTTTACAATTATGATATTGGTACAAGCAAGGTATGGTCGTATTTATTTATGTTTGCAGTAAAAGTTCAATAATAATTTATTTTAAAATATATTTTTTAAATATTAATCCATTGATTGTTTATTTAATATATGATATCAAAAACTAGCTTTTTATAGTAAAATAAAATTATACCTATTCAATAATAATTTATCCAATTAATATACCAACTAAACAATATATAATATGTAATTGTGCATTAATTTAATATATTACTCAAATAAAGAAAAAAATTAACAGGAAAAAAAAGAATGTGAATTAAGTATACATAAAAAAAATTTTCAAAATAAGGTCAAACGTAGAAGTAAGCGTAGATGTTTTATGGCCATCTTACACAGGTCCTGCTGGGATGGGGACTGGTTATCTAGCCCCCGAGGATGTGGTTCCTATTTATTTAGCCGCGAGGGTAAATAAAGGAGGTTGCGAAACCCACAAATCTAACGGAATATTCTTCTGGATACATCCCTCGAAGAAATTGTACCGAGTAACCAATGACTTAAGGGGGAAAAATAAATTGTTCGAAGGAAATATCTTAGGCTTTGATCCTTACAATTGGCACAAAATCACGCTCATTGTTAAAGTTTGTAATATTCATATTTGGTTGGAATTTAAATTATTTCAGTAGTTTTTTGCCGTTGTTTTAAATTTTGTCCATTAGAATATTTAATGTGTCTTCTTAATATAGACTTTTAAAGTGGGAAACTTTTGCATATTTATTTATTAAAATCTAGAGGCAATAAAAAAATATTTATATTATAAATCATGATATAATTTGGCTAGATGAAAATATATTTTATATACAAAAAATGGAATTTAAATTGCTATAACTTTTCATTAATAAGTTTTTAGTGTTACGAATAATACAAATTTACAAATTGATAAAATAGGGAAATCACGCAATGGGTTACGTAGATAAAATCCTCACCTTTAGTGGAAATTTTTCTAACGTCAAAAGCTCACACGGTTTTGTGGCTCTAGGTACAATGAATTATTCTCCGGCCTTTTTTGACAATCTTAACATATCTTCAGCTAATTGCGAATCAATTGGTTCAACCTCTTACTTGTCTTATTTCAGGGTCAAATAACATGAGATTTTAACTTATAATTTTGCATGATTTAAATATTTGCGCGATATAATTTATATAATAGACTCTCAACTCTTATATAATCCACCTTATATATTTTTTTACATCAATTAATTTAAAAATCTTTGGACATCATAATAGAGGCAGCATGTAGCGTAGACAACACTATAGATATATTTTTTAAAACTTATAATAAGTTGAGAACCAAACGCTGCTCATTACTTTTCTGAAATTTTAGCTATTATTATGTGTCGAAAAAAAATCAGTTGGATAAATAAACCTTTTTTTAAGTTTAGAGAGAAGCTAGGTTTGAAAATTTTTGTAAAAATTTGAACTAAAGATTTCACAAAAATAAAATATATATCTAATTGATTGATTTTACTTATATCTATTTGGCATATATGAAATGTTATCATTTTTAACTTTACCTGGATTTGGACTTATCTCTCATATCATAACAGATAACTTTCCGACATTTTTTGCATTTATTTTATACTGGTATAAAAAATTATCATATTTGAAAAATTCATACTTTTATGAGAAACTACAATCATATGTTGACTGCCCTTAACTTTTATTTTTGACTCAAATATTTCAATGTATTATAATAATATCAAATGTTCGCGTTAGTGATAAACCTTGAAATTTGCATTTAAATTTCGTTAATTATGTTATTTTATTGAGAATCCATATGCTCCATTTTTTAATATATATAATATATTTAATTATTTTTTATAGAGTATTATGTTATATAATATTACTGCAGTCGTGGATACTATTTGTGTATAAATTATTTGAACCTACTTTTATTACAAATAATTAGTTTTAAAAACCTCAATTATGATCAATTTTTTAAAAACGGCTAAATTTTTGCCAAAAAATATTAAATAAGTCTCCAATTTTTGCTAAAAGATGTTAGAAGTTAGGTTATCTTTTGGCACTATTTGTTGGCTAAAATCAAAGTTTACACGTTTTTAAAAAATTAGGCTAAATTGAGTTTTTTAACAATACCTAATAAAAATATTTTTTTAAAAAAATTTGCAGGTTCTTTTTAAATTATAAGCCGGAGGAAGCGACCGAATAGCATTTAAGTTGTAAATGAACCTCGAACTCTACTCTAACAAGAATATATACTGTAAAACTAAGAGGTCTTAATGCTTAACAAGAAACGATACGAATTAGCAAGAAGCGATATCATATCGCGATTCCATATTTAGGTCTTTCTTCTTTTGTTTATTTTCACCCTAAAAAACCAATCGCATTTAGAGAATTCTAGGTAGTAACTACAAATTCCGCCTGATCCCCCAACGGAATTCTGGGATATTTTTTTAAAATTTGTTTTATGCAATAAAATGTTAATTGTAATTTCAAAATAAGCGAATATTACATTTAGTCATTTACAATAATTTATTTATCTAAAAATAATATATGCTAAATATACTCCTTATTTCTATTTTTATTCTAAAATTTATCTATATAAAACTAGTACTATTAGTTTATTTGGAAGTAATCTTAGCCGAAACACAACATTTCTCCTTATATATGTATAGTTTATCTGAAGAAGATCTAGAAAATATTTTAATTGTTTGTACGCTTAATAGCTATATTTTAGGAAAATAATTATTTCTATTATGGTTAATAAATATATACTATTTATTTTTTATAATGTATAAGTTAGATATATTTTGCTAGGTGATTATAATGTTCTATATCTACTTTTTATCAAAATGGATTATTTTTTTCAATATATTTATTCATTAGTGATATTGATCCATATCTTGAATAAATGTGAAAAATGATTTAAACTTTTTTTAATTAACAATATTATATAGTTTTTATTAGAAATTAACATTTCAATATAGATTTCCTCCATGCTTCAAGGACCGTAATATCATTGCAGCAATGATCCACACAAGATTCTGTCTCAACTGACTCTCCTTTAAGATAAAAAATGTTTACACCATGTCTTCATTTAATACATGAACTTTATGTGTGCTTATACTTTAAATTACCCTCATCTAAATTGAATTTAGTTTTAAAAATGACAAAAAATAAAAATATCTGTTTTAGAGAACTAAATTGTTATAACGTGCTCTATATATTTTATTTCGTAGGTTATAAAGATTTTGAAAAATAAGAAGAGGAAACAATTGATTCCTGTGCTGAGAAACGAAAAAGAAAAATACCGGAAGCTGAATTTATTAATTCTCAAAAGGGACTTTTTAAAAATAATTTATACATCATGCTCACATCTGAAATGCGAGAAATAATCGATATCTTACTCAATCAAGCGAAGATTTTGTTGTAAGAACGTTTTCAGCAGTTAAAACTTTTCAAGAATTCTTTTTTTATTCTATATACTTGCATTGGTAAATGCGCCTAAAGCGGAGCTAAAAAAATAATTAACTAAGTATTTTATTAATGGATCAAGGTTGGAAAGCGATATTAATGTACTAGATCTTTTAACTAAATTAAACATTTTAATAATTATATTGAGTAAGTAGAGCATAAAAAGTCCTTTAGAAACTTTCGCTATAGTGTAAATGAAGCCCTATAAAATATATACATTTTTTAGGATTATTCTATTCCAATTACAGTCCCATCTGTTATACCCAACTTTTTACACCTCAAACTAATCAATGATTCTGCATAGCGTACAGGGTCATAGCCACGGGGATGGCTACTGGGGAGGGCAGGGTTTCCCTACAAAAAATTTTGTCCCATACCTCACCTAACGAAAAAATTTTTGGCCCACAAAATGGCCGCCAAAATTTTTCCGATCCCCAATTTTGAAAAAAAATATTAGTATTATATTTAATTCATGATTAACAATCAAATCTAAATGAAAATACAATATAATATTTAGATAACTATTATTTATATAATTTATACACATTAATAAACAAGAACATACCTATAATAATATTAGTTATAAAATATCCATTCACTCATTAGTCGCAAGTAATAAATTTCTACAAAAAGAATTCAGCAATTGGAAAAAAAGCGTTGGCTGCAAAGAAGGGAATGCTATTACACGAAAGCTCAAAAGTTCATATAAACTCAATAACAATATGGCATGATTAAAATCTTAATATAAATAAGGATAGAGATAACAACAATTCTAATAAGCCAAGAAATAATCCATAATCATTATTATCTTAAATCAATATCTGATTTGATGCTATTTCTTAGCATACAGGAGTTACCTTTTCTTGGGGCTAATTCAACAAAAATTACGGACGTTGCAAAAAATAAAAATATAATTTATTCTTATGGACTATTTATAACCTATTTTTTCATTACCCATTCAAAAAGATCCTGAATTAAATAAAATTATAAAATGAATACCCAAATTGCACAATATACATCACCCAAATTCAAAACGGTATAATCTAAGATATGGTGCTGGAATACATATCAGGAAAATATAGAAGTGAGATACCTTTTTTTTGTTAGGCTGATGACACATGAGATGAATCAGGCTGAAACTGAGCATAATTATTCGTTATAATTTTTGTGGAAAATTTAATAGGAAACATTAATTTACAATGTCTTTCAGCGAAAGCATTATTATTTGTATTTAAAGCAACTCAATGAATTAAATAATAATTCATCGAATTTATAAGCCACGCATATGACTAATTTTTTTAATTTATCTAATGTATTTTTTAATTTTTTTAGGCTTTTTAAAGTATCCTGTAAATATTAGCGGCCATACTTTTAATCGACTTTTAGACCAAAAGTAAACTGGTTGAATCTCGTTGAGGCTATTTACGAAGTATTATTTTATCTAATAGAACTCTAACTCAGAGGCTTCCACTTATGATTCGATCGAAGCCTCTAGTCTTTTATCTCAATGCGTTAATATAAATTACATTTCCGATTATAATTATGAAGTATTGATAACAATAGATCCCCTAAATAAAAATCTACAGTCAGTAGATACTAATATAGTAGATACATAAAATTGTATTGATTTTACAATTAATATATTAAAAAGTGATAATTCTTTTAATTTGATATTATGGCTGAAAAACCTATCTCAAATTTTAATCTCACATCTCAAAAATCACCAAAGGTATGTTAAATGCCTACAAATCTTCAAGATTTTTTAAGCGAAACCAAATTGCATTTTTGATTGTGAAAAGAACTCTATTGTAGTTCTTTAAAAAAGAATTATTATGAAATTATTATAGATCGTTTTTTAAATAGATTTTCATAAGATGTTATATTCTTCTATCAAGTTTTAATATATTGTCCCACTTTAACCCTGATTATTTTATATCAGATAAAAGAGTCCCATTAGAATCATTATTTAACTTAAATGTGGAGGCGTTCGATCATGAAATATAATAGCAAAAGGATTATTAGCTTCAGAAATTAAAGAAACATAATTTTAAAAATATCTATTATTGTATAAAAAACTATCATCTTGCATCATTTAAAGAATTGTAATGCCACTCAACAGCATCTTTATTGGGATATAAACGGCTTCTTGAGAGGCCTCAATTTTTACACTAAAAAATGTTCTGAGCACTAGAGAATTGATAAAAGATCTACATAAACAAATTAGTATTTTAATGGCTTATGTAAAACACAAAATTTAGCATTTAATTCATTTATGTCAAAATTTAAAAATAAAAATCGTCATATTATATTATAGTATTATTTTGTATATATTCATATTATAGTATTATTTTGTATTCATATTTATATTTAAAAATTTTTAATAAAAATATTAAAAAAATTTCTATGAGTGCCTAACTATTTGTGATATTTCAAAAAATAATGCCCCCTAAGTAAGCAGTTGCCTCCCCCCAGGAAGAAATTCCTGACTATGGTCCTGATGGCTAGGAGTACCTCGTAAACCTATCCCTAATTTCAATCAAAAATGTCATTTCATCATCGTTAGATTATTACTGACATATCCTCTTTTGCAAATAAAAGGCAAGGAGGATAAATGTTTAAAACTACTATTATTTATAAAATGATTATATGATAAACCTGCGATTACATACACGGTCAAGTACTATATTAATTTTTTATTTTAATATGCGTTATTCATATTTATGATCTTTTAGTTTTTGTCAGAATACCCAAAATTTTTAAATATATATTGATAATCATTTCAGGTAGTGTTATATAATTGTAAAATTGTAGTTGTATTTCAGTTGCAAAGGCGTCGACAAAGCCCACGGAAAATATGATTAAATAGAGTTTTGGGTTCATAATACTTTTATAACTAGACAACTGGAATTAATTTTTGATACAAATATTTAGAATAGACATTTCAAAAATATAATAGCTAAATCAATTATTAATTGATATAACACCTCCTTGCAGAAGAAATATTAATATCTCTTTATTAATTATTTAGGATATTTTTTAAAAAAAATATAAAATGTGCTGAAGCTTAAATAATTTTTAAGATTGAGATTAATCACATGCTAGACATTATTTTGATTATGAATATTACCTTATGTATATATCGCGTGAAAAAATGATCTCTTTATGAAAAATTTATATTTACATTCATTTTCTATATAACAAAATAAATTAATTACTTTGTATGAATCGTCTTAAAAAATTCTGATTGTTTTTTAGTTAATTAAATTTTTTCCCATAACATTAAAGATATATGTTAACGGCAATGTGTTATTTTTTAAATTTTCAATCATTATTTGAGCGCGTTCTTTTAAATTTAAAAAACTGATTTTACCGAAAATGAATTCCATTATGTTTGGAATACCTACCCTATGAATTTTAGACAATTTTGTCATCATTAACTTTTGAACTCAATCTAATTTATATTAGTTTACCATAGATTTTTCACTTGAATTATAAATTACTCAAGTTAAAGATAAAATTATCTATAATTCCTAATATAGGAATTCTAAACATGCTGGAATACATTTTCGGTAAAATTATATTTTAAAAAACTCCTTCAAAAAATAGTTTAAAGTTGGAAAAATAACAAATTGCCGGAAAAAACACATTGCCATTAACACATATAAATTTAGTTACCTCTTTTTTCTTTTTTTAAAATAATTTTACCGAAATTTTAAATCATTTTAAAATTTGAATAAAACTCTATTTAGGTTACACCTTTATATATATATGTTGTATCGGGATATGAAATTAGTGATCTGCATCGGGCCTAATTTTTCAAGCCCAGCACGGCCCGAAATTTTTTTTAAAAAAGTTTTGCTAGCCCGGCCCGAACCAGAAAATTTTTAAAATGTTTTGCCGGCCCGGTCCGAACCCGAAATTTATTTTTATAAAATTTACCCCGGCCTGGCCCGAATTTATTTAAATATAGAAATTAATTTTTATAATTACTTAAAATAAAAGACATATGTTATATAGTGTTTAGTTTCATTAAATTAAATCAAAAATTTTTATTTTACATAAAAAATTCAATGTAAAATTGATAAAATTAGATATATTTAATAAAATTTCCAAGATCCGACCTTACCCGGCCCTAAATTTTTTTTTAAATATTAGGCTCGACCCGGCTCGAACCCGATTATTTGCAGATCTCTATATGAAATCCATCACTAGAGATGGAATAAAAAAAAATAAAATTAAATTAAAAAAAACAAAGCTACAATCGAGGGGATAATGAAATCTTTTTAAAATCTAGCTATTATTTATATATTTTTTTTTCTTAGTATTTTATTTTTAATTTCAAATAATCACTTAATTTAAAAAATAAAATATATATATTAAAAAAAATATAATAAAACTTATATAATAGGGAAATTTTTTAAAAATATATTATAAGAACCAAGATATAAAAAAACGGGGGGGGGGGTAGGGGGTTAAAAGAAAGATATATTCTTAATATTGTATTTCTAAAATAATGAGCATGCACCTGCTCCCTACCATCTTGTTCACAAAATTCTATACAATCAATTTATATTTCAATGAAAAAATGTTCCCAAAAATTTCCAGGCCACTAATAAGTATTATTAATGATTTATCTGTTAAATTAATCTTCAAATTTAAATTATCAATCTTTGTCTCAATAATATTAATGTTATTAAATGAAATTCATTACAAAATAAAACTTCAACTCAACTATTTAATTTATACTTATACGTGAAAGTGGGTTTACTACATAAAATTTATTTGAACATTTTCTTAAATTTCACTTTTTTTTGTTATAAAGTTTTGGGTACAATTATTCTGACAAAATTACCGTTTTTAAGAAAAAATTTTATTTTTAAAATAATAAACTATTTTTGCAGATAAATAAATCCCTTAAGCATATTTGCTAATATTTCGCAAATTATGCCTATTTTATAAGAAAAAACAATAATAATATATAAATATAAATTAATCTTTTATATCAAAATGTCGCATAAATTGGATCAAATTATAAGTGCTTTAAGATTCGGGAAATATCAACTCAAAAACTATCTCCTCATATCGGGATTGATGATATTTTATCCATTTCAAATGTTAATTATTCCCTTTTTAACTCATCCACATTTGAAAAAATGTTATGGTCTGAATAGTAATTTAAATTTAGAATTGCTTGATGATAATCTTTCAAATGATAATATCTCTACTTATATGGATCGAAATTATTCTATAAAATATCTTGCCATCAATATCCGCAATGACCCTTCATTGGTTTCACAAATATCATTCATTGCCAAAACCGGTAAGAACATCACCACCACTTTAGGGTTGCAGTATGTCACGAAAATCTCGTGAGTCAGGTTCAGAATTAAATCAATTAATAACTTGCAAATGATATACTCATATTTTATAATACAACATTATACCCTCACTCGTGAGAGTGAACTCGATTTTTGTTCACTATACCGAAAGAGAGATTAAATTATATAGGTTGGGATATAATGTTGTTATATTTTTTATCGTATTTTGATCATATCAAGAAATTAACATAATGCCCTAATTGTTTAATGTACAGAAATGTAACTAGAACACTTTGATTGGATCTATCGATTAAATATAAAAAACTACAGGATAGACGATTTTTTTAAAATTGGTTTGCCTAGTCTCGGTCTTACCTAATGTTAAATTTTATTTTACAAGTTATACACATAGCAACTTTTATTTCTCTATATTTTTATTCAACATTTCATTTTATTTGAAAAATATAACTAAAAGTTTGATTTGACAGAAGATAGAACATACTTAATAACCCAGGCCTCCTCAATTTTTATGGCTGGAAGCGTCATTGGATGTTTTGTTTTCGCTCTGATATCCGATAAATTTGGTCGAAAACGTTCTCTTCTTTTATCCAATTTTACTTTATTTTTTAGCACCATATTAACATGTGTTTGGACTCCACATTTCTATGTTTTTCTCGTATATCGATTCATTCAAGGAGTCTGTCATTCGGTAATTATATAATCATTTTCAAAAATTAAGAAGGGTGTGGATTGAGAGGCTTGTAAATGACACAATATATGTTTATATTATAAAATCTAGGAGAAGTTTGTTTAAATAGAAAACCCCTTAAATATTAAATAGTAGTTTTATATGATTTAAAAAATTTGGATAAATTAGTTTACTTTTACATATCTTCCGCTTCCTAAAATTTTAATAGATCAATTTTCTATATATTTTTTCTTCATTTATATATCAGAGATGTGCAAACCCGGCTCAGGCTGTATTTTAATTTTTTAAAATATATCCCGGGCCGTATATTTTAAATCGCCATTATTAGCTATAAAATTAAAAATAAATATAGTATATTTTAAAAAAATTCGTGCCGGGCCTAAAAATATAAAACCCGAGCCGAAATTTTTTTTGAAAAGAAATCTGAGCCAGTCCGTTTAAATGGTACCTCTGCAGGTCTCTGATATATATTACAAATATAATTGTTGTTAAGTTTGTATAAAATTTGTTTATCTGTAGGGAAACTTTATGGCCCATATGATTTTTTTGATTGAATTGATCCCCAGCAATAAGAGGCATTATTTATCGCTGGTCAGTACAGCTTTGTACACCTTAGGACACATCATTTTATCTTCTCTAGCCTACGCTTTGCCTTATTGGAAACATTTGCAACTCGCCACAGCATTATTCATAGGTGTTTTTAGTTTCGTTATCGTGTAAGCATTTTCAATTATTTTTAATATTAGCCGACAATTTTTTAAAAAATTAAGACGAGCCAAGACGCATCCTTAATGTTTTTAAATTTTTTGAAAATAAGGAAATTTTTTTTTTGTTTAGAAGAGTTTATTAAACTTGTCTATTTTGTAAAATAAAATGCTTCTAATGGTTACATAAATATTGACAGATCATAAACAATGTATTTGTTTAACATAGGAATAAAGTTAGATGAATTAGTACTAAAATAAGGATCTAAATTAAAAAGGTTTCCCAAGTGTAAGGATAAAACTATAAAAATTAAAAGTGAAGTTTTTAGGCAAGATTTTTATGAATACAAAATGGCATAATGTTTTCTGAATAAAAGGTTCATCACAGATAATTAAGCCTACTTTTTAAAATTTTTAATACATAAATTAAATATAGATTAGCTGACGAATCCATTCCATGGTTAGTGAGCAGAAATAGAACAAGGGAGGCAACTTTGTTGATAGAAAAAGCAGCACAATGGAATAAATTAATGGACATAGAATTCTTTCAACATTCTAATATTTTAAAAATATTAATGGAATTGAATAATATTAATCAACCTGTTCATACCTATGATAACTCTGATGAAGACATGAAAAATCAGGAAGAATTATTGAATAATTCAGTGATGATAGTTCAAGTAAAAAATACCGATAAATGTCCCAAACGCAATATGGTACAAAAAATATGTAAAATCAAGTTTATTTATATATTGAGAGTTCCAATATTACTCAAAAGAACCATTCTAGCAGCATTAAGCACGTAATTTATTTTTTATAAATTATTAATAATCATTTATTTGGATGGGAATTTCACAATTTTAAATTATTTGGCAATTTATTTTTTAAATTTTAAAAAATCTGATTTTACCAGAGGTGTATTCCGACATTTGTAGAGTGTCTACTTTATAATTTTCAGGCAATTTCGTCATAAAATTTTAGATCTTCTAAATTCACACGTATTCTGAATAAATCTACGATATATTGTACTGGATGGCTTAAAAATGGCATAACTATTTCAGCGAAATATAGAAATTTTACACTAAAACATATATTCATGCTCACAATAAATTTGTTAAGTAATTGGGCATATAAATACCTTTTTTTAAATAGGCACTCTAAATCAAATCCATTTAAATTATTTGCAGAAATTATGTTGAATATTTTATTAAAATTTTGCTTGATGCCAATTTTTCAATTGACCAATGGATAATATAATATCATCTCGTGAAAAGAGAGAAAAGATCACATGTGCAGTTCCTTTTGTTGTAATGACTTGAGACTAAATTTCCTTTTCGGTTCTTAGTACACTAATTGTTAAAGTCATTCCATATATGGTAATATCATAGGTTTTCAGAACTATTGCTCATTTCTAATATTTGATGAAATTTGGACAATTAATGCACAGAAAATCTTGAAATGTTCCCACACTCTGTTATGGCACATTGTCTAGTACAACCGCATAAACTTTGACGTTCACTTTTGTAGTTTGAGTTAATGAAAAATAAAGCTATTTTATCAATAAAGGAGAGACCGCATGATTCTAAATTTAAGATAACATTAAATTTTTAAGGAAGTCGCAAAGGATTATTATTTTTACATGTCGAAGAGACAACCCGATCTTTTTTCATTATAAAGTAGGAGAGAACTAGGATAATGTTAACCTGGGCAGTTATTTCCATTAGTGATCTGCATCGGGCCTACTTTTTTAATCCTGGTCCCGCCCGAAATTTTTTAAAAAAATTTGCAGCCTACCCGAACCCGAAATATTTTTTAAAAAGTTTTTTCCGGCCCGGGGCCCGGAATAAAAATTTACCGACACCCCTCTGCCCGAATTTACTTAAATATATAAATTAATTTTTATAATTACTCAAAATAAAAGATATATGTTATATGGCGTCTAGTTTCTAATAAAATAAAATATTTTTATTTTACATTAAAAATTCAACATAAAATTGATAAATTTTATATATTAAAAAAATTTTCCAAAGCCCGACCCGGCCCAATTTTTTTTAAAAATACCCAGCCCGAACCCGATTTCTTTTTTTAAAAGCCCGTTCGGGCCGGGTACGGGTCGGACCAACTTTGCAGATCTCTAATTTCCATATCAAATAATATTTAAAATTAATCTACTAAAATTTAAACTATAAATATATTTTAATAAGATGCATCAGTAGTTCTAAAAACATGAAAAATTTGCAAATTTAAATAATAACACATCAAAAGTAACTTTTTAATTTTTTATATTTTTACTAATAAATTTTTTTATGAAAGTTATTCAGACTAAATCAATTCTAGATGATAAAGTAGCCTAATTTTTTATCATGTATAAAAATATTAACAATATTTATTGTATTTTAATATTTTAAAATTAAATTATAATTATATGCGAAAACCTGGGGCTGGTTTTAGCCGGGCTCGTATTAGCCATTTTTAGCAGGGATTTATTATTAATAAAAATTATAGAATTATATTTATGAGAAAACCAGAAACCACATGTTTGCCTATGGGCATGAAAGGCAATATGTTGATGGTTGACTTGTTTTTGAAAATGAAAATGGCAGTCTTAAATGACAAAAAGTACTTCCTGGGTATATATATAATATGGAGATACCTGCTACATTTAACATACCTGATAATGTATTTTCATTTACTTACTTATGAACATTTTTATATTTAAAAAATGGAAATAAATAAGCGTTATAACAAAGCACTGCGAAAGGCTAAAATTCTTAAATTTTCATTTAATTAAATGTTATTAAAAAACTAAAAGATTTTTTTCAATATTAATTTCTAAAGTAGTTTTATGTGAAGAATAAAACTCGGTTAAATATTTTCCAAAATTTCCTTCATTAATTTTTATAGCACTTTATTTACTTATGGATAATTCAACCCCATTCTCCTCTATTTGTAATTAAAAATACAACAGATAGTTCTAACTTTTTCGAACATGAGTATCGTTTCCAAACTTTTAAATATCATATAGTTGTACTTCATAATTTTCTGAATACCTCTACAGCTATAGTTGATAACGATTTATTAATACCGGATTAATATACCGAGATATAGAGTGTTTGTTTTCTAACATATACAATATTTTCTACATCCTAGCTGATCAGGGCATTCCATGCCATTATCAGACTTTCAGAAAATGAAACTAAAAATCTGTAATAGTTATTTGCAACATCTTAGTGTTTTTTTCAAAATAATATTTAATTAGAATAAAATCATATAGTATTTATTGATAGTTATAATATTCAAACCGAACAGATAGAGCCGTATTAATTGTTAATATTTACAAAACCTAAATCAAACCTAAATTGTTTAAAAAATTGTCATCCTAACCTAAACCAAATCTCTAAAAGGGTTTATAACCCAGTTTGTATTTCTCTATATAGATCTAAAGAGAAGCTTGAATATATTTTAATTTGTACACTGTTTAGTATTATTTTGTAATAATGATAAAATTTTTAGTACCCTCACTAGGTGGGTGGACGCGTAGGGGCTCGAGACCCCCTGAAAAAATTTTTTATACCAAAAAATGGGTAATATTAAAATGTTGGCTTAAAAGAAAGATTTGAAAATAATTTTAAAGAAATTTTTTTGAGTACCTGAGATTGTAAATTTAAAAAAATGGTTCTAATTTAATTAGTTTCTATGCTAACAGATTCGAACTGGGAAGGTCTAAGATATTATCATTTTTTAATAACCTAAATCATGAACCGTTAGAGTTTAGTTGAACCTAAACCCAACGATTCGAATCCCTGGTTATAAATGATCACAAAATAAATCGCATGTTTTTCATCAAGTTAATCCGTGCTAAAAGTCAAATATCTTTAAGCCCCTTTTTATCGCAAAGGAATCGACCGATCTGTAAGAAGTGAAGTAACTTAAATATATTTTTTAATAATACGGGTAATAGGCCACCCGGTGCATACTAGTGATCTGCATCGGGCCTAATTTTTCAAAGCCGACCCGGCCCGAACCCGAAGTTTTTTAAAAAAGTTTTGCCAGCCCGGCCCGAACCCCAAATTTTTATAAAATTTACCGGCCCAGCCAGGCCCGAATTTATTTAAATATAGAAATTAATTTTTATAATTACTCAAAACAAAAGACATATGTTATATGGCATCTAGTTTCTATAAATAAAATCAAATATTTTTATTTTACATATAAAATTCGATATAAAATTGATAAGTTTAGATATATTTAATAAAACTTTCAAGGCCCGACCAGACCCGGCCCGAACCCAATTTTAAAAAAAATTTAGTCCCGAGCCAGGCCAGAAGCCCGTTTGGGCCGGGTCGGTCTCGGGCCTGGTACGGGCCGGGCCATTTTTGCAGATCTCTACTGCATACTATAGAATCAAATCACAACTTTTATTAATGTTTTTAATATATAAAAGGCATTATCTAACTCTCAAATATATACCTAAAACCAATATTTTGGGTCCACAGTTAGAAAAATAAATTATCTAATTTTAATTAAACTGAGGACATTTCCAATTTTTAATCAATATTAAAAATGAGTATATTTTACAAATTTTATTATTTTTTCAAAATTGTTTTCATGTACATTGTTTAAAAAACGTAAATATTATTATGTACTCTCTGGTTCCATCTCAAGAACCATAGTTAGAATTCAGTCGCTAATGCTGGCTTTTATTTGAAATATAATGAATTTGACATATTTATAGCGTTTTCATATATCAGTTGCATATGACTCTTATGTTCAGCTTTGACTTACTACCTGGAAATATGTATATAAATTTTGTCTTTATGGGAATTAGTGGAATGCCTGGAAATTTAATGGGATTTTACGCTTTAAAGTATGAGTTGTTTTATTTAACTCATTATTATCTATCAATATAGCTAAATTTAATAATTAAATTAAGAATAGGACGAAGAAAGCCAATCGTTTTGTTCAATGCGGTAACTGCTCTAACGATTCTAATACGATGGACCCTATATTATTCAAGTGAATTTAGTTGAATTTACTAAATTATATTTGAAACATTATGATAGAATGGCACTTTCTTATGCTAGCGTTCAAATAAGGTGTGACCCTATATAATCTAGATGATATATATATAATTTCCAATTTCAATATTTTTGAAGATATAATCCATTTTTGATATTTTTTCTGTAAATCCTTAATGACAAACTTAGAACTGGAGTGAAAATCAAAATACTAATATTTTATCAGTTCATTATATATTTTAAAATAGATTTAAAAAAAATTATTATTATAATGTAGTTAATCCTCTATAACGTCTTAAAATATATTTATCTAAATGTTAATTTATATATAAATATTGATTATAAATTAATTTACAGCTTTCCCATCAAATATATCAAAATAACCTCCAAATTTTTTATATCAAATTTAAGGAAAAAATAGCCTCAATAAACCAAATTATTTAAACAAATATTTTTCATATCAAATAGAAATAAACATTAGTTGGAACGGTTACTAGCTATAGAAACCCTGATATCTATGTTTGTGGATCTTTTCACGGATTAGTCTACCCTTTAAAAATGGTTAGACTAGCAATAGGTTAGAGTAGAAAAATAAAAGAATAGAAAGATATGAGAAGGGAATGATGGAATAAGAAGAGTAAAAAAAATTGTAGTATGCTAGA